CCTTTTTTGTGTTATCTGTAATAAGAGTAGGTAGTCTCTTCTACCGCCCGGTCAACACTCCTCCCCCTTCTATTGGACATGAGTACAGGCTTACACCTTGTTTCTTGTCTAGGAAGGAGTTCCCGGTACTCTTTCTCTCTCCGGCCACTGTATTAGTGCAGCTCTGTTTCTCCCGTGATGTGTGCAGTCTGTGGTATCACCTCTTCATTCTGAGGGTACACGGTTAACAGTTCTCTGGTTGCTGTTTCCGACTGGTAGTTAGGAGCCCTAACTCTTTCGTAGCGTCTTGAGCGGCCGCTCTGATCAACAGTTATATAATACCGGGGTGTTTTTAGTGCCATGTCGCGCATGGAAAGGTGTCCCTGCGGTCACCCCCGGTGGGCAGCCCTGAGGCCACATAATGATGCAGATTTTGCCAACTCCTCTCTGCCCGCGTCACGTTCGAAACTGTCTGTTTCTTTTACTTCGGGCCTTCTCAGCTTACAAACAAAATTCAATATGAGTTACAAAAACCGAAAGATTAACCCTAAACCAGCCTCTCAAAAACCACCTAAACCCCTCAACATTTCGTTCTCCAACATCCGGGGCATTAGGACAAACTTCTGCAGTCTGGAATCTTTCCTCACTGCAAACGGCCCGGATATACTGGCTCTTTGTGAGACAAACCTTGTCTCGTCTACCCCCTCTGATCTCTCGATCCCCGGCTATCTTCCTCTCCCCAGGAAAGACTCTCTAACCCACATGCACGGTCTTGGTGTCTACGTCAAGGAACATCTCCCTCTGGCCAGAGAGTTCTCTCTCGAATCGCCAGACCAGTCATACATGTGTCTCCGACTCTCTCTCAATGTGGTAAGCTATCTCTTCTTCCTTTACCGCTCTCCATCCTCTCAAGACTGTGAGATACTCGATAGCATTTCTGACAGCATAGACAAGGCTCTCTCCCTCCACCCGTTTGCTCACATTTTTGTGTTTGGTGACTTTAACGCCCATCACACCTTGTGGCTTAAGAATGCTACGACTGACCACGCAGGCATTCAAACGCTCAATTTTTCAATCTCCCATTCCCTCACACAGATAGTTAACTTCCCCACTCGTTTTGCCTTCAACCGCGAAGGTAAAGCCTCTCTTCTCGACCTGTGCTTTACCTCCATCCGCGAATCCTGCAGCGCCTCGCAACTCTGCCCTCTTGGTAACTCTGATCATGCAGAAGTATCAGTTAACATCTCCTTCAACTCCACCCCCTATAAAGAACCTCCTACCACTAGAACTCCGTCCTACTATCGACAAGCTGACTGGGACGGGTTCCGTGATTTCCTCCGCGATGTCCACTGGGATGGAGTCTTTAAGCTCCCCGTCCAAGAATGTGCTTCTGAGGTCTCTTCCTGAGTTAAAGCTGGAATCGACGCTTTCATCCCATCAAGGAAATATAGGGTCAAGTCGCGCTCCTCCCCCTGGTTCTCGGCTGCTTGCCCAGCCGCCATCGCCCATAGGAACCACTACTTCCACCTATTCCGTAGCGACATGTCTGACTGCAATAGACGTCTCTTTGCCTCCGCCCGTAACGAATGTAAGCGTGTCCTCAACGATGCTAAGTCACTATTTGCGGCACGGATGAAAGAACGTATTGCATCTTGCAAATTTGTCTCCAAAGATTATTGGCGTCTCTGCAAGAGCGTATTGAACAATTGAAAACCCTCTATAACTTCTTTATTCAACCAGTTCGAAGTCCTGACCTACTCTACCGACAAGGCTGAATGCTTTGCTCGGAAAATTTCATTCAACTCGACGCTCGACTCTTCCGGTGTACCCATACCCGACTTCCCTCTTAGAACTGAAGCTATATTGAGTGGGTTAAACATAACCCCATCTTTGGTATACCAGCCATTGTCTTGAATAAATGCGCGCCTGAACTGGTGCCCGCCCTTTCTAAACTATACAACTACTGCCTCAAGGAATCTTGTTTTCCTGACTGCTGGAAGTCCTCTTTGATCGTTCCTGTCTCCGGCGACCCCTCTGACCCTTCCAACTACCGTCCTATCAGTCTCCTTCCCCTAATCAATATCGGGGTGGTTAACCACCTCACATCCCATAATCTGCTCTCAGACAAGCAATATGGTTTCCGCTTTGCCCGATCTACAGCTGATGTGCTTACGGCCATCACTGAAACAGTCTACCGAGCTCTTCAAAATAACGGGGAAGTCCGAGCCGTGGCACTAGACACCTCCAAAGCATTTGATAGGGTTTGGCATGCCGGCCTTCTTCGCAAGCTCCAGGGTTATAGCATTACGGGTCGATTATATAATCTAATACGATCATTCCTGTCAAACCGTGAATTGAAGGTCGTTCTCAACGGATTCTCCTCCAGTTCCTATCCCACGAACGCAGGTGTTCCTCAAGGCTCCATCCTTGGCCCCACTCTATTCCTTATCTACATAAATGACCTTCCTGACCTCATAACTTCCCAAGTTGGCATCTACGCGGATGACACCACAATTTATTCCTGCCTCAAAAACAAATCTAGTCTCGCTGACAAAACTAACCTGGCCGTGCGTCTCGAAAAGGACCTCCAATCGATTGTGAACTGGGGCATGAATTGGCAGGTCAACTTCAACGCTTCTAAGACAAAACTGCTCTCTGTTAACCACCACAGAGATCCTACCCTTCCCTCCATTAGAATGTCTGACGCTCAACTTCTCGAGAGCAACTATTTGCGGCTTCTCGGTCTCACGTTGACTGCTGACCTGAGATGGAACAAATACATTGAGTCAATTGCTTCGTCCACCGCAAGGAAAGTTGGCTCCCTGAGCCGCGCCAGGAAGTTTTTCTCCCCAGAGTCGATCCTCCAGATCTACAAATCAACAATTCGCCCTTTCATGGAGTATTGCTGACATATATGGTCTGGTGCCCCTTCTGTTTGCCTCGGGGTTCTTGATAGGCTCCAGAGGCGGATATGCAATGTGGTTGGCCCTGCCCTGGCGTCTCGTCTACAGTCACTTTCTCACAGACGCGCCGTCGCCCCTTTCTGTCTGTTCTACAAATACTTTCATGGCAATTGCTCCGAGGAGCTGCATTCGCTGGTTCCCAGACGTCATGAGTTCAAGCGCCATACGAAGCTGGCATCCCGCTCTCACCCCTTCACTGTCGAAACTCCTAAATGTAGCCGTCTATTCTACTCTAATAGCTTCATGTCTCGCACCTCTCACCTGTGGAACTCCCTTCCCTATTCCTGTTTCCCTGTGAGCTATAATCTCCAGCTATTCAAGTGTAATGTCAATCGACATCTCCAGTTGCCTTGATCTATCCACTACCCTCATCCTTTCTTCTATCACACCTATCTGATCTTGCTCTAAACTTTCTGTAACCCCTTGCGTCCTAGTGGCTTCCCGCCTTGCTTCGGGTGAAATGCTTAAAAAAAAAAAAAAGATACAAATCACATACAACGCCAATCATTCATTGGTTAATAAATCACTACTACATTACTACAGGCAATTTACAAATCGCAGTAATGCGACAATTTTGTAATTACTCAATTTTTAAGTAGTCAATTTTGTGCACTTTTAAGAGAAACGGATTACAGAAGCTTTCTTAAAGCTCGATGCCAATTAGAATAATTCTTCCCGCGCAACGATTTGGAGCCTGTAGTCGCTTATTTAAGCCAAGATTTTTCTAATCCCAACTAGTGAGATTTCAACTGCCAAACAAATCCACGACAGTTGAAACCATGCGCCAACTTTCTCACTCACACACACCACTCACAGACTGAACATACCTTGTACACACTCACATAAACTCTTCTTACACAACAATATCTTTCAAGAACAATCATTACGAGAGACTCTCATGAACATTCTTCCAGTGAACTTTGGAACACTAAAATAACAGTTAAAGAGAGACAACTCTTGGTTAATTCAAACTTTTCTTACTTAAATGCATGCTTTCCTTCACATCGTTGTTTGATATTGTACATCTTGTTAAATACATATTTTATGTGTAAGAATGTCTTTTGGTTATTGTTGTGGATTCCGAGATGAAATTCGGTCTCCAATGAATGACAAACGCAGGAATGAAATATAACAAATAAATGTATTTACACAATAATACAATTGGTAATACGGTTAGTAAATCCAGAAACGTGGTTAGTAGCAATAATAATATACATATACAATCTGGTAAATCCTGTCTCGAAGTAGGACTTTTTTAGAGTCTACGTGCTTGTAACTGTGACTTCTACAAGCGGTTACCTCACACTATTACTCTACCTCCAACTCAATCACAATCACTGTTTCTCTACTCTGATTGAATCTGGTTATTTAACGGCAGCAGTCCAAGTACAGTTATCATTTTTTGCGTGAGCCTTATTTCCTAATCTAAAGTTAAATTAATGTAGTGAATCCACCACAATATATTAGACGGCCAGTTGGCGGTGAAAAATCCCGTGAAAAAATAACAATGTATTTTCATTGGTCTTTGAACTGACTAATCAGGAACGAAAGAAAAAGACGAGTTTTTTTTCTTAAACATTTCATTTCAACTCAAGCAAGGCAATAGTGTTAGAGAATATGAGAAAAAAAAAACACTGTCAGAGGAGAGAACAATAAAGCAACAACAATTAAGAAGACATTAACGATTGATATTGCATTTAAATTTTTGGAGATCAAAGTTCTCCATAGTCGTCTGTCTTGTGATTACCAAGAAATATTTTTTTTTTTTTTTACCGCAGTAACAAATGAAATCTGTGCATTTGATTCAGTAACATCCATAGTTTACAAAGTTGAGTTTTTGAATGCGAGGTCCATCAAAAATACCTTGTTTCAGTTTTTCAGGAAATACACTTCAAATGTACTGAAAATATTGTCCTTCCTTGTAAAGCGCATTCACAAACTGTTTCATGAGTCCTAATTTGGTATGGAGAGAAAGGAAGATAATTTTATCTCTGGGGACTGGCGGATCAGTCATCACGTGTTTCTCTCCGCCTTTCATTTCTACTCTAACCAACTATCCTAGGATTGATCGCCGGGTTCTACTGTTCCATAAACAAAGGAAGAAGGAGGACTTTGTGTAGGCTGATTGAAGCCCAAGTAAAAAGATAATAATTTTCACTCAGTTATGATGAAAATAATTTATTCTTTCCATTATCTTTTTTGATGGGTTCATGCCTTTCTTTCAGCATTGTGGAGTGTCCAATTTGTATCGATACCTATACATTGGTGTTGTGCAGCAAAACAAATTTCAAACTACGCTTTGACCTATCAATGAATAGACTCTATGAATTTGTATCATACCAAAATGCAGCAAAACTACTTCGACATCGTTACTAGAAAAAATTCGTGGGCACCTCGAGGCGGTGTAATGGTTAGCAAGCTTGTTTCGCTAGAACAATTACAACTGAGTCGTGAGTTCGATCCTCACTGGGTGCTCCTTGCTTTCGGCCTTGTGCTACATCTAAGCTACGCTTGGAAAATCACTATAAACAATTACGTTGGTTTGTTTGAATTAGGAAACAAGTTCAGCGTCTCTATTGCGATAAAATGCAACTTTTCTTCCTTTCTTAAGGAGACTTTTTTTCCTCCTTCAGTCTTGAAGCTAACATTTCTGCTGATTCTTTTGATAAACTCAAATCCCTGATTAAGTCGCTCAGATCTTCTTGATTAAACGAACGGTTCAGATGATAATCCCGCAAAATCATTATCATCGTCATTCTCGCCCAAGAAGATTATTCGCATCATCATGATCCAATTCTTCAATATCAATGAACGTAAAATCCTTTAGAAGAAAGGAATTGGAACTTTATTATTTTAGTGTCCAATTTGTATCGATGCCTATACATTGGTGTTGTGCAGCAAAACAAATTTCAAACTACGCTTTGATCTATCAATAATATACTCTATCAATTTGTATCATACCAAGATGCAGAAAAACTAATTCGACATCGTTACTATAAACAATTTCGTGGGTGCCTCGGGGCGGTGTTAGCAAGCTTGTCTCGCTAGAACAATTACGTGTGAAATAAAAAGCCGGAAAGAGAGCTTTTACAAGCGAGAAGTGCGAGTGAAAAAATTGTTAGCATAGAACTTACGGTTGCATCTAGCCATTTCAACCGTAAAAGGATGAAACCTTGCCAGCAATCTAGTCAGTTATGTGACATACGTAATACACGCTTAGGCGATCATGCATCTTTCGATATATGACTGACGAGGCAGATTTTTTCCCGCAGTAGATTGCCATTTATTTCTGCGGTAGAGCAGTTGCCATCGAAGGTTATAGAACCCGGTCTGTCCTGCTACTTACCCATAACTTGGGGCGGGGAGAAGAAGAGGATTCATACCTTTCCAAGGGTATTAGCATGTAAGTGAATCCAATGGATTCGACTGGAATTCGAACTCGGCTCGCCGATTCTTCAATCTGAGCCGCTATCCATTACTTCACTTAAATTCATAAAATCTAGATACGGTACAAGAAAGTTCATCGGAAGAATTACCATTAAAGTATTTATAGAAAATGCACAGAGTAGCTGCATTAAGACGACAAAAATGTATCTTCTCCCCCCACTTTTCTTTGGTGAGGTTTTTGTCTTAGTACCAAGCAGAAGGTCTAAAAATGGCTGAATTAAATAAATTTCTCTCTCTTTCCCCTTCAGTTCGGCCCTTTTTTAGGAACTAAGACAAAAACCACATTGAAGAAAACTGGAAGGAGAAAAAAACTTTTATCCCCGTAGTTTCTCTGTACATCATACTTATTATAAAATCCAGGTTGTGTGTGTGTGTGTGTGTGTGTGTGTGTGTGTGTGTGTGTGTGTGTGTACGTTTATATATTGGATCGTATTTCCTACATTTTTCAACCGATTTCAACAAAACTTCACAGGACTACGTAAAATTACCTTGCGGTGGTTCTGACAGTGCCAAAAATTAGAAAAATACAATTGTTTTTGCACGAAATCAATTTGAAAACAATTTAGAGACATCGCTTTCGCGAATGAAAGTGGGACAACTCATATCGAGTTATACTTATTATAAAACCCAGGTTGTTTTTGTGTGTGTGTGTGTGTGTGTGTTCGTTTATATATGGGATCGGATTTCCTACATTTTTCAACCGATTTCAACAAAACTTCACTTTTTTTATTTGGTAGGTAGTGTTTCTTATTGTCTTGCACACTTTTTTCTTTATTTTTACATTCAGAATGCTTTAAAAATTCCATTTACAAGACAATTGTTTATAATAAAATTCTATTCAATCGGTAGACTCATAACGATTGAAAACAATGTTTTTGTTTGAGTTTGGGTTTGACCAATTCGTAAAAAAAAAAAAAAAAAACTAATTAAGACATGCGTGTCCGTCAACCTTAAACAATAATCTTTGTCAATTTTATTTTTCAGTCTTTATGATGGTCGATACTTGATCTATCTCTTACTGTTACATCCCCGGGCAACGCCGGGCTCTACTGCTAGTCTTCTATAAATACTTTCATGGTCATTCTTCTAATGAACTATTTTTTTCTGTTTTTTCACTTTGCACTCACCTAACCACCGCCACCGCTGCCCGCACATATATTGTAATTTTTAAATAGTGTATATGTAGTAAATTAAATATTTGTTTATATCACATGGTATCATTTATCTAATGTTTCAATTTTATTCAATGGTTAGTAACTTATTTACTTTTTTCTTGGTGTTATATACTGGGATATTCATTATGACGGCTAGGTTTGTTCGTTTGTAGTTGTTTGTGTATGCGTATGTATATATTTATATATACATACGCACACAAACGTATAGGTGTGTATATTTAATATCTGTTCGTTGATTTATTTATTTATTAATAATTAAGTAATATTATTTTCGAAACATATTTTCATGAGTGTGTTGGGATCGCTATGAATTGATTGTGAAATCAGAAGGTTTTAGTTACTAGCGTGATGAGTTTGACAGCATGTCCTCATATAAATCACAACAAATAAAAGCATTGACGTATAAGTTGAATAAAACTCAATGCAAAATGGACAAGAAACAACGGTGGATGTGCATTCAACTAGAAAATATCGAACATTTATATACAATTTTTACAAATAGAGAAAAGGATGTATATTGATGTTATGCAAGGTTGACGAAGTTTGCATCAAGGATATTAAATGAATTAAAGTTCAGCATTGTTCAATTGTTGAGAAAATGTTCACATTGCAATACCAAGGGAAAATTTATCGAGAAGTAAATTTGAAAATATTGTATGTGAGATTTAAGTTGAATTAGTTAAACTTTGTTCTGACAGAGTTGTTAACCCTGGACTGTATTTTCTTTTGTCTTATGCTAACATTACAATTTCCGTTTCGTAGTGTAATTGACACTGTTTAAGAAAGCTGTAATGGGGTTTAGAGAGATAGAAAGATGTTGGTAATTGAGTCAGGAGTTGACGCGCGAAAAGTTCTCAAGTCAAAATGTAGACACACGTGGATCTGTGTGGAATCTCTGTGAAGGCGAATTACTGACTGGTGAATTGGACTGAAATTCGTCCTTTTATTTGTTTTGGGAAACCAAAGTAGGCTCCCACGAGCCTGGCGGGAAAACAGATTTTTGACCATGGATACACATTCTGGGGTCGTCTCGGCCAATAACAAGCCGAGTTTTACAATGTGTGGTGTTGATTGGTCAAAGCTAATTCTTATAGAAGAGTCTATTATTAACAGGCGCGAGTAGACAAACATGGACGATTCTATGAGTGTTTTTCCAAATGTAAGTAACTTATAACTCTGTCGGAATTACATACCCAAATTTATTACATTCTGTCAACACGGAAAACGCATGAATAAAAACAATTCTTTTTCTATTTTAAAGGATCTCCATCTCAAAACTCGTAGCACTTAAGGCGGAGAATATAAAATGTTAAACGATTTTCTTTTAAAAAGTCACTCATTTTCTTTCTCTCTTTTTTTTTTTTTTTTTTTTTTAGCCTCGAGCAACGCCAGTTTGGGAAAAATAATAAAAGATTTAATTATTTTAAAACACACACAAATGCATACACAGCACAACACATTTATCGTTATCCGTCTGATGAAGCTGTTGAAGGTGAAATATATTGTCGGATATTATTTTCGAAACATACTTTCATAGATAGATAGATATGAACAGACTGAGATAGATAGATAGATAGATAGATAGATAGATAGATAGATAGATAGATATGAACAGAATGAGATAGATATGAGCAAACTGTTAGATAGATACATAGATATGAATAAACTGAGATAGATAGATATGAACAAACTGAGATAGATAGATAGATAGATAGATAGATAGATAGATAGATAGATAGATAGATAGATATGACCAGACTGAGATAGATAAATAGATGTGAGCAAACTGTTATATAGATGCATAGATATGAACAAACTGAGATAGATAGATAAACAGACTGAGATAGATAGATAGATAGATAGATAGATAGATAGATAGATAGATAGATAGATAAACAGACTGAGATACATAAATAAACAGACTGAGATAGATAGATAGATAGATAGATAGATAGATAGATAGATAGATAGATAGATAGATAGATATGAACAGAATGAGATAGATATGAGCAAACTGTTAGATAGATACATAGATATGAATAAACTGAGATAGATAGATAGATAGATAGATAGATAGATAGATAGATAGATAGATAGATATGACCAGACTGAGATAGATAAATAGATGTGAGCAAACTGTTAGATAGATGCATAGATATGAACAAACTGAGATAGATAGATAGATAGATAGATAGATAGATAGATAGATAGATAGATTACTGCTTATTAATTACCAAGTATATGAGTATGCTAATTTTTTATTGTCATAGTCCGTCAATATTTTCGCACGTTATCCTAATTTTTATTTAATCTTTTCATGAATAAATATCTTGGCTTCTTTATTTTCCGTTCATAGAGAATTGGTCCCGGAAATGTCTTGTCAAAGACTTGCCATGCACCAAGAAAGAACACGGTAAGTAAATGTTTCCGAATTTTTTACATCAATGATTATTGTAATAGTCTTAATTTGCATGATATTTTTTACACAAAGCGTAAGCGGCAACTTCTGGTTGGATACCTAACAAACACATAATTATATCAGCCTTGTATATTTTAGCATTAAACGGAACTATAGCTACGCTTTTTACTATAGGGAAAACCGGACCTATGGTTACCTTTTTGTCTCTAGTGTAAACCGGACCAGTGTCTATTTTAATCTAGTGTAAACAGGACCTATTTCTACCTTTTTGATTCTAGTGTAAACCAGACCTATGTCTGCTTTTTAACTCTAGCGTAAACCAGACCTATTTCTACCTTTTTGATTCTAGTGTAAACCAGACCCATGTCTGCCTTTTTAACTCTAGTGTAAACAGGACCTATTTCTACCTTTTTGATTCTAGTGTAAACCAGACCCATGCCTGCCTTTTTAACTCTAGTGCAAACCAGACCTATTCCTACCTTTTTGATTCTAGTATAAACCAGACCTATGTCTGCCTTTTTAACTCTAGTGTAAACCAGACTTATTTCTACCTTTTTGATTCTAGTGTAAACCAGACCTATATCTGCCTTTTTAACTCTAGCGCAAACCAGACCTATTTCTACCTTTTTGATTCTAGTGTAAAGCAGACCTATGTCTGCCTTTTTAACTCTAGTGTAAACCAGACCCTGTGCTACCTTTTTAACTCTAGTGTAAACCAGACCTAGGGATATTTTTGTACTCTAGTGTAAACCGGACCTATGTCTCTCTATTTGTCTATAGTTTAAACTGGACCTATGGTTCTCTTTTATATCTACCTTTTGCGTTTAATGTCAATCGACCCGATGTGTCATTTTTAAATCTAATGTAAACTGGATCTACCTTTTTCTACTCTGGTATAAACTGGTCATAAATCTACTCATCTTTTAATTCACTGTCATTTTTGTCCAAAAAGTCTTTTAACCGACATTAAATAACCCAACGATTATTGATGTGTTGTTAAATTCAACAACATGATCTAACCTAAAGAACGCCGAAGCTCATTGGAGTCGAAACATTATGATCAAAACAGCAAAGATAAGATGTTTGTATGTTATTCTTGTTTTTTTTTTACATTTATGTATTCATTGCAGGTATTTTTCTTGCCAACCGCGAAATATTGAAAAAATGCAAATGTCTAAAACGCTGTTCCTCTCTATTGTATCATACTCAGATCTCAACAGCTTATCGCCCAAGGAATACGAATTTGTAAGTAATTTTCATTTAATTTTTATCGATATTAGTATTATATATTTATTCTTTTAGAGAACGAATTATAAATAATATATGCCAACACAGAAAGAACAACAAAAATGCAACAAAAGGGAGTGCTGAACTTATGTGAAAACATTTCTTCCTATATGTCAGGATCCAGCGTAGGATGAAAATTAATAAAATATTTCTACGTGGGTAATCTGATAAACACAGAAAACTCGGTTGATGTTGATACCTTTATATAAGGAACCCGTTTCAAAGGTGGAAAAGTGTAATTTTCAGTCGAAATAGTGTGATTTTAAAGAAGAAAATAAATTGATTAAATACGGTTGTGTGACGTCGTCCCCCGGTCGCAGCGCCAACTGTGACGTTCTATCCTGATCTACCACGGCGCCAGTTGTGACGTGGCCGTTCCAGGGTCCTATCCCGGTCACGACACCAGTTGTGACGTCCCTAAACAGCACCAATTGTGACGCCTTCGCCGCGGCGCCAGCTGTTCGCTCCTCGCTGCTCCGTCCGGGTGTCGCTGCTCCAAACGTGACGTTCGCCTGTCGCGTCAGTCGTGTTGTCTCGTACTGTGACGACCAACTGGCTTGGTATCGGTCGCGGCACCCAAATGTGACGTTCTAACCTTTTGGCGATTCGGGTGGGAATCTGGTTAGATTTGATATCAGCCTCGCCGTTCCCAACCTGCTTCCAACGCCTGCTTACCAAGGTAACTGCACTGATCTCCAGTCTGCCTACCCACGTTGTGAATTGATCTTAGACAGACGAAATCAAACAGGGGTTGGGGCCGTAATGCAAATTGAGTTCAACGGGGATGATAACACACAAATATGCATAAAAGAAAATAAAATGAAAACTCAAAAAGTTCAAAGTATCAGGTAACAAACTTTATGTCTAGTTGTTCGATACATAGGACTGCATCTATCTCCCGACCCGTTCTGTGGATTGTGACACGTCGCTTTCTCTAGGCAAGTTTTAACGCTTCAAGTTGTTTGCTCTCTAAGAAATTTGTGTTTCGGTGTGTCTTTGGACGAAAGTCGAAAAACTTATTTCTGTGGTCTGGTTCTAAGTCGCTCTTCAAAATAATTGTTTTTGGTTGAAGAGGAGTCCGAAATTTTGCGTGAATCTTGGTCAGCTATCTTGGTCTATCATCTCTGCCGCCAGGGCCGAACGAACTGTCTTCTGCCCGTCAGGGTCCGAACTAACTCTCTTCTGCCCGCCAGGGTCTGAACTACTGGGCACTCATCTCTGCCGTCAGGGCGCGAACTACTGGCCACTCATCTCAGCCGTCAGGGCTCGAACTCTCTTCTGTCCGCCAGGGTCCGAACGAACTCTCTTCTGCCCGCCAGGGTCTGAACTACTGGGCACTCAACTCTGCAGTCCGGGACTGAACTGATTTCTGCCTGTTGGGGCCTCGTTTTTATTGACGCCGTCAAAAACCGGGTTGGGTCTGTTGGCGTCGGGGAGTTCCTCGATAATTCTAAATACATATCCACCTCTTTTATTTCTGGTTAGGGATTTTCCACTCTTTTCCATTTTGGTAACTTTTTCTCACTCCCACTTTCTCACCATGCTTCTGAGGGCGTGAACTCCCTCCCCACTTCTTCGTAGCGGCTTCTCATACTTATACTCTGGATGGGGGCGTCGACAGTCTTCTTCGTGAGTCACGTGATCACTCTCGGCCAATGAGGTCTTGGTCGGGTATCTTTCCTCCTCCTTCGTGCGTCATGTGATCACCACTTGACCAATGACGTCTTAGTCGGGCGTGAACAACCCGCGGCTTTGTTTTGGAAAAGAAATACCTTGCTTAACTAAAAAAAAATTAATTAAATCGCCGTTATCATGAACGGATAATATGACAACTCTTTGTTCATCACGTGGCGGTTGTCAAGCAGTTTATCGCTAATCCATCAGACGGCTGGTTTTCCGACATGGTCTCAGAAAAGAATTTTCTCCAAGGTTTCCAGTCAGTCTGACGTCTCCAAGGCAGAAATAAAAACATTTCTTATTCCATTCATTTTCCTTCGGTTCATGTGTCTGATAAAAAAATTTTATTATCGCAGGGCAAATGTTTTGTCGAAAAGAGCCCAACTAGCGAGACAGCTTGTGTGGGATTTTAATTTTCCATATCCAGCTAAGGCTCCAAGCTACACCTGTGTTTTGTCAATTATCAAAATATAACGTTTTCAAGTGGACTTTCTTTGGCGAACATTTCTTGATAACACAATTCCATTCGCGCTGGCCAGTAGGAAAATCGGTCAATGATTGCTCGCAGGTGGCCTTTAATTTTCATATCTGTCCAAAAGTCTTTTTTTTTAGTCGCCTGTTTCTTGTCGTCACTTATCGAAATAACATTTTCGCTGGAATTTTTTCTTGGCCGGTGGCCTGTGCTTTGATAGTAAGATGCCTTCTCGTACCAATAGTTTAGATAACACTTCCCTACCCACTCAATCTCATTGTCATTGTAATGACACTCCTTTCGGCATTTGCCACTTATCCAAAATAACCCTTTTTTTTATTGCCTCTTAAGCCGTGTGTGTGTGTTCGCCTATGATCCGTCTCGCATTACTTTTTCCTTCCTTTCTTCTTTTCTTTCCTTTTCCCTTTTTGCCTTTCTTTCTGCCTGGATGCATGGTGCCACAATTGTAATTTAAACAAAATATTTGGCTACAAGGATAAATGTAGTTGATGATACTTTACAAATTTCCTGTAACTATTAAGATATCAACAGTGATACTAAAGGAAATATTTCATCTCAGAATTTTAGCGTATACGATTACTTTTCGATAAGTCTATAAGCTACATTTAAGGGAAGGATATTTTTGGCCGACTTATGGAAATTGAAATTAACTTGGGATCCTAGAAGAGCATTAAAAAAAAAAATTCCCAATTGCACTCTTGAAACTTTAACACATTGTTTGATTGTTAATCTTTCCATGGTTGAAATTGCCAAAGACTGAAGTTGTTAAATGTGAAAGAAAAGGAAAAAAAATCATTAGACGCTTAAACTTAATTCGCATTTAAAATCGGTCCAAGTTATTGGAACTTCTTTATAAGGAACCCGTTTCAAAAGTGGAAAAGGGTAATTTTCAGTCGAAATTGTGATTTTAAAGAAGAAAATAAATTGATTAAATACGGTTGTAATTTAAACAAAATATTTGGCTACAAGGATAAATGTAGTTGATGATACTTTACAAATTTCATGAAACTATCAAGATGTCAACACTGATGCTAAAGGAAAGATTCCATCTCAAAATTCTAGCGTATTCGATCCCTTTTTGATAAGTTTACAAGTTACTATTAAAGGGATTATGCTTTCTGCACTATACATTAACGTTACCACAAACATGTGCCGTCCTGTGTATGACGATAAACTACATCCGCGTCCTGGGTAAGGCGATAGACTATGTCCGACAAGGCCTTTGATCAGGTTTTGAGATGCGTGGATCCACCTCTTAATTGCTGGCGTTCCCAAGTCCACCCTGACCCGGGGTGGTAGCATCTGTTAGGGTGCCAGCTATGAGCAAATAGTTAACCTCCCCAAAC